ACCCGACGGTGCCGCGGCTGCGGAAGGTCGACTTCTCTGTCGCCGTCTCGCATCTCGTCTTTGCGCGGGATGGGCGGCTTGGCGCCGTGCTCAAGATCCACCTCACTAATCTTCTGATGCGGCTCAAGGCGTCGCAGCAGGCCGGCTACTGCGTCTCACAGCAGCTGGCGGAGGCACACCGTACGGTGCCCGAGCTTGTGCAGGCCCTCGAGGCGGGGGACGAGTCTGTCCCCCGCAAGATCCTCTCGATCGGCGCGAACCTCAAAAATTCGCCAATGTACTGGCGCGGAGAACACACCAAGCTCCGCGCGCTGCAGCAGTTCCGTCGGGCGGCGCACGGCGACGTGCCGACTTACTTTCAGACCAACTCGATGGCGGAGTTCCACTGGCCGCAGATGCGCGCCCTCCTCGAGGAGTACGTCTGGGCCACACGCGGCGCGGATGGGAGGACGCGCGGCTGAAGATGGCGAGCGCGCACACCGAGCGCAAGTATGCACACCTCAAGAGCTTGGCGGCCTTTGTCCGCCAGCTCAAGGCGTGGGACGAGGCGTGCGCCGACGGCCGCTCGTCGTGCTGGTTCGAGACGGAGGGCGACCTCCCGCGGCTGGCCGGGGAGGCGCTGCTGGCCGAGGCGGCCGCGACGGGCGCGAGGCGGATCGCCTTTGACGCCGTCGCGGCGCGTCTCGAGGCGACCGCGGCGCCGCCGCCGCCTCTCGGCACCGCCTTGGCCGCGTGGCCCACGGGGTGGGGCATCGAGGAGGCGACGGGCAACTTCTGCGGGCTGGCGCACTGGGCTGTGGAGGTGTGGCACGCGGCCGGGTCGGTCGACGCGAGCCGGTGGCAGGTCGAGGCTGACGGAGGGCGCCTCTTCTTTGTGCGGGTCGCGGGAAAGGCCGCATAATCGCGCTCTCCGCCGAGGCCCGCCTCGGCGACGGCGCTCGCCGCGCAGCAGCAGCAGCAGCAGCAGCAGCAGCAGCAGCAGCAGCAGCAGCACGATTCTTGACACATGATTACACTACACAGTCCTCCCTTCGGTTGTCGTTTCGAAGCTGTTTTTTTCTTCTATCGCAGCGCACTCGCATCTGTGAGCCTAGCGCAGCGCGAACTCGCCGTCTGGGCCTAGCGCAGCGCGAACTCGCCGTCTGAGCCTAGCGCAGCGCGAACTCGCTCTGAGCCTAGCGCAGCGCCTCGGAAAACACCATTTTGGCTCGCCAACAAGCCCTCCGCGCCCCCACACCGTTAGGATAATACTTTTCGATTTATGTACGCGCCACAGAGTCGCAGTCCCTTGTGTTTCGCCTTCGATACATATATACACATGATGCGTGTGCTGCGCGACCACGCCGTGTACTCGCTGCACACGCCCGGCAGCCAGCGCGCCGCACAGCGTGCGCTCCACCCGCCGCGCGGTGACGGCCCATGCCATCGACACCATGGGCCTCCCTTTCACAGCGTATCGTCCCCCTCGCGAACGGGTCTAAGCTTTGCGGCGGCAACCTCCGGTGGCAGGCTCGGCGACCGAGAGGCCTTTGGCTGCCTCCTCGATAGCAGGCGGTGCACGCTGCGGCCGGTCTGATAGAGCGCAACGGCTGCGAGGGTGGTGAGGCAGAGCCAGCCGAGAAGACCGAGGAACGACATAGCAGCGGGCTGCTCCATCGCCGCTGCCGCGACCAGGCTGGCTCTTCCCGGCAAGCCATGCGAGCCGTGCGAGGGCCTGTGCTTGCCCGGCGTCTTGTTGGCTCGTGAGGCGAGTTGGCGAGTGCGTCGCTGCTGCGTCGATCTGCCGACGCCGTGCACTGTCCTGGCGATATGGTCCATCCAGGTGAGGGGCGCGCGCGTCACGTGTTTGTTGACGTCGTGCGCACCGCACCCGCCTGATCCCTGTGCGTGGTGCGCGGGCCGAGAGAGTCCGCGAGACCTCGAGAGAACGTCCAGCGACACTCACCAAAAAATTCACTTCGACCCCGGCCTCGACCGACCCCACATAACGCATGCAGCGATCCACACTTTTCGCCCGAAAGTTTTATCAAAGCGCCGGTCTTGGCAGCCGCACGCTTCTAAGTCCCAGCGGCCTTTACCGGTAGCGCCGGGCGATGGTAAATAAAAACGGACACCTCTACTGTGAGATGGGTAAAAAGGAACAGGTCCCCGCCCGTGCGATCTTTGTGCAGCTGCAGGGTTCTTTAAAAGAAATAAAGAAAGAAAAGAGACAGCCAACGAGGGATATGGTATTTGGTATTGCCAGGTCACGCCGGCGACGCCAACGAGGTCGACTCGTCCTACCACCTCGGCTCTCTCTGCCACTGGATGGCGCACGAGAGCCAAAGGGCGGCTTCCCAGGCGGCGCTGCGGAGCTCGGTGAAAGTCTGCAAGGTCGACGACGACGCGGTGGAGCCTCCGTTTGGAGAGCTCGCCGGCAGCCCGCTCACGGCCTGATGCTGCCGGCGGCCCCTCGGCACGCGCTCTGGTGAAGTCGGTGTGGTGGAAGTGGACTCCGAGCGATCGCTCGGCCCTGACGCACCACATCGAGCAAACTTGGCGCGCCACGTACGCGGACAGGTCAGCGAAATTGCGGGAACCTGGCGTGTAGGAGATTGGACTGGTGATGTGATTGGGCACGCACAATGCGAATGGTATGTTCGATTGCGGTGCGGGTCGTCGGCTCGTGCGAGAGAGGAGAGTCGTTGTTGTCCGGTGGCAGCAGGCATCGGCCGACAGCAGAGGCCGTATTTATTAACGGAGTGGGCGGGCGCGCGGTGCGGCGCGGCGTGTGCGTGTGTGCGACTGCAACGAAGGACCGCTCGCAAGGGACCATTGGGTTTGTACTATTAACAGCAAAGGCGCTCTCACCGCTTGAAAGGGACCATTGGGCTTGTATTATTAACAACGAAGGCGCTCTCAAAAAAAGAATTGGGCGAAAAGAATTCACGCCGCGGGCGCGGCCTTGCCGCGCTTGCCGCCGCGGGCGGCCCCTTGCCTCGAGTCCCGACTATAGAGGCAAGCATCATACGCGCCCATGCCAGCTGAAACCGTCAACAACGAGTACGTGTACGTCTACACTCTCGACTCCACCGCCGCCAGCCTCATCGCCATCAGCTTTGCGCTCTTCATCGTTCTGCCCATCGCTACGTGGGCCTGGTTCGTGAGCCCGCTCTGGCGGAGCGGCGGCACGAGCGGCTGGATCGCGCGCGGCGGCGGCGGGCGGATGCACAGCACGGCGAGGGGCGCGAAGCGCCGCACCCCGCCGCCCGCCCTCGTCTCCTTCCGCGACGTGCACTACTCGGTGACGCTGCCGGGCCGCGAGAGGCAGGAGCTGCACGTGCTCAAGGGCGTGAGCGGGGTGCTGCGGCCGGGGACGCTGACCGCCATCATGGGGCCGTCGGGCTGCGGCAAGTCGACCCTCCTCGACGTCCTCGCCGACACCAAGCGCGTCGGCGTCATCGAGGGGGACGTGCGGCGAGACACTTCCGAGACACTTCCGAGACACT